AAACGGAAAGTAAGTTTTAGGCAGTTTATCCTTTGTCCTTGTTTAATTAACAAAATCGATTTAAATTGTTACTTTTTTCTACCACTAAGTAATGATAAATTATTGTTAATAATTTTTTATTTTTTGGATGCTCAGAATGCAGGAAATAGCATTTCCAAGTTTCAAATTTCAAAAATTTTCTGGGGATTATCCCTCTAATAAGTAATGAGAAATTACAGTTAATATTCTTTTTTACTTTTTGTGCATTTTTTCCATCTTTTATTTCAAATACAAGTATAGTTAGCATAAATTTTAGAGCAAATTTGGATGCTCAGAATGCAGGAAATGGCATTTCCGTGCTTCAAATTTCAAAAATTTTCTGGGGGAGTACACCCCCACACATCTGACCATTGCCACCCCCCTCTAATAAGTAACGATAAATGATGGTTAATTTTTTTTACTTTTTGTGCGTTTTTTCCTTTATTTATTTCAAATACAAGACAGTATAGTTAGCATAAATTTTGGAGCAAATTTGGTTGCTCAGAATGCAGGAAATGACATTTCCGGAATTCAAATTTCAAAAATTTTCTGGGGGAGTACTCCCCCAGACCACCCCCATTCATGCGTGGTATATTGGCCACACACGTAGCCTTCAGCCATTGCTATCCCCCTCTAATATATTATCCCGCAGAAAAGTCCCTTTTCAAAAAATGCCCCCCTCCCCACGGGAAAATCCTTAAAAAAGGCCCTGGCTCGTGATCACACGTTATTGGACAGTTTGCCTAATGAATATTAATGAGTTATAAGATATATACCAAATAAAAAATATACTGATAGTTCACGATTGTTCCATTTTAACGATGAATGCTTATACCGTTACAATTATTATAGGATGTTGATGCACGAGGAAGATAGTGATTATACAGTAGATTACGGTTAGTCAGGCACTCGGCAAAATTTTCCGATTTCTTAATTCTGTGATAACACTTTCACACACTTCTTCTCTACTTTTTGATGCGTCTATAATAATGCAGCTAGGGTTCTCCATGTTCTTGTATGCTCTAACTAACCTGCAGAAAAAATGAAATATATATCTCTGTTAATGATATTGCACACCGCCATTATATTTTAGTGATGACCATCTGTGATAATTGCATGTCACATAAATATTAAGCTCGAACCTTGGACAAAATATAATCATTTTTAGGGTAAATCCTCTATTATGTCCGGCCCTTCTCCCAGCCAAATAAGCCTCCCTCTATTTAGCCCCCATTTTTTTATAGCTGGGCCTGGAGTTTTCAGTTTAGTAGTCTACTACATATGTTTACTTAATGCATTTCGGCAAAATCATGAAGGACCCCCGTCTATTGTTAACTCTCCATCAAGTCCCTCAAACGTGCCTGAAATAACAAAATGGCTGAAGGGCTTAGTGTATAGAGGATTTACGATTATGTTTATCCCCACCACCCTATCAATGCTGGTTCATTGCCTATCGATAACTGTGTTTGCTCTTTCGTGACTGTTAACTCTATCGGTTCTTTTCCATTTCATTTCATTCTAATCCATTCTATCCTATTTTATTCTATTCTGTTCTATTCTGTTCTATTCCGTTCTATTCTGTTCTATTCTGTTCCGTTTCGTTCCGTTCTGTTCTTTCTGTTCCGTCTGTTCTGTTCTGTTCTGTTCTGTTCTGTTCCGTTCCGTTCCGTTCCGTTCTTTACGTTCTGTTCTTTCTGTTCCGTCTGTTCTGTTCTGTTCTGTTCTGTTCCGTTCCGTTCCGTTCTTTACGTTCTGTTCTTTCCGTTCCGTCTGTTCTGTTCTGTTCTGTTCTGTTCTGTTCTGCTCTGTTCTTTCCGTTCCGTTCCATTCCGTTCCGTTCTGTTCTGTTCTGTTATGTTCTGTTCTGTTCTGTTCCGTTCCGTTCTGTTCTGTTCTGTTCTGTTCTGTTCTGTTCTGTTCTGTTCTGTTCTGCGCTGTGCTGT